CCCCACCCATAAATACAGCTGGATTAGTTCACAAATGCTTACTTCCGAGGCATTTCTGATTTAAATAACAGGACTTTTTCTCTGGTCCCACTACAATATCATGTGATTGCTTATTGGTGTGATTCTCCTCTTTGTTTTGGAACTTGCATGGTTGTGCCAAGCTTACAGACACGGTCCTGTGGCCACCCATCTGAAAGCTATCACAGCAGCATTGCTTGATAATCTTTACGTACTTGTATTCCTGATCTCACTGGATGTCCAGAGATTCTTGTGGGTGTCCTGTTGCTAAAGGTTGACCTTAGTATACTCAGATCTTGAAAGCAATGAAGAGTATTCTTGAGCCAGAGAAAATTGTTTCATCGTTTCTGGTTGAACGTTCTTCTGTTCTTTCCTGCAAGGATGCCAGATTTTCCGCTTCCTTTTGTATTCCCAAAAGTATCATCTTCACCGCAGCAGTACTAGCCTCTGCCTCCCTATCTTCCTCCTCAATCAGCTGGCGAGAGAGACATTTCAGGATCTCGACCCTGTCTGGTTGAACCGTGCTGTCAACTGAGGTGGCCTCACCAGCCAGTCTGTCTGCTTTTTCATTTCCCTCAACACCTGCATGGCCAGGGCAGAAAATCCATGTGAGCGATGGTATAGGCGTTGCTTCGATAAGTTGAATTCATTCTGTTCTCAGGAAGTCTCTGGAAAAATGTTTTCCTTAACCAGAGAAAAAAAGAAGTTTGAAGATCACTTTTTTGAACTGTTGCCTTTCAGTGTGTGTGTGTGTGTGTGCGTGCGTGCAAATATCTATTTTTTAAGTTAATATAAGTCTGGTGCCCTTGAGAGGAAGGAAGAACTCACATCAACGAATGTGTGTGTGTGTGTGTGTGTGCGTGGGTGCATCAATGAATGTGTATGTGCCTGTGCGTGTATGTATGTGAATGTGTGTCTGTGAACAAAAGTTGTTTCTACTTGTTTGCTTTCTGATTGACGATGTGTGTGGTTTTCCTGTGACAGATGACACTGTAATCAGTGAAGAAAATGTTACTTTCTGTGTGGTGCAAAAAGTTTGTTTTTAAACGGCATTCGGTGGAGAATGCAAAAGGAATCATTTTCATTTTCACCCTTTAAAAACTTTCATTTTAGTTTTTCCAAGAAGAAATCTCTTGTCTTTTCTGTATATGTATATGAAGAAATAAAAGTGTTCAAAACTTGGTTAACTTTTGAAAGTACATGTTCCAATTTGACCCTGTCCTATTCACCCCAGCTGAAGAAAATACAAGAACCAGTGTTTAATATGGAAGAAACTGGCCTAAAAAAAAATGTAATGCGAGTTCAACCTTTCAGAGACTGTCCAGGCATGCCATAAATTTCTGTCAGGTGATATCCTCAGTTGCAATATATAACCTTGACTATGATGTCATAAACAGATCCATGATGACATGTATCTCTTAGTTTAGTACAGGTTTTACGGTGCTCGCAATTGCATAAGGTCATATGAGCGCCAGAAGATTAGAGGTGTTACATGAGAGTAACAAACATTTTTAAAAAAGAAGGGGAGATAAGGACGATAGATGTTTGATAGGAAAGAAGAAGCAAACCACACAAGAGCACCCGCCAACCACCCACTCCATGTATCTCTGTAGCATTGCTTTCATTTAAAGCGAGAAAAGTGTATCGAGACTGGCATCACCAGTCAGTTATTGCACTCACACTTCCACCAGTGGGTGTTTGGTGGATGCTCTGGTGTGGTTTGCTCCTTCTTTCCTATCAAACATCTTTTGTCTTTATCTCCCCTCCTTCTTTTTTGTGTTTGTTACTCCCTTGCGACTCCTCTAATCTTCGGCACTTATATGACCTTATTGAGTGGCAAGTGCTGTAAAACTCTTATCGGTACTAAAACGAACACTTCCACCATGGTCAACACTAGAAGGATACCAAGTGCTGATGAAGCAATAGGATGGTTGTTGTTGTTGGCCATCAAAGTGAACAGGAAGGGTCATGGTGTCCTTGTTGGGTTCTGATCATACTAGTATGTATAGATTCTTCTTTTTATCAACAAATCATGTAGTAAATGGCATTTTCTTTTTTTCATGTAAATTCTTATTTATGCTGGTTTGAGCCATTCCTGTGTGACTCCCTTTTTGTTGTGTGTGGTGGTAGCGCTAATGAGCTGATTTTTAACTACACAGTAACTTTCATACGGCATAAGAAGATTTTGTACTAGCGAAATAGTATACATTACAATGTAAATTTCTGTGTTCTCACTAGATGTGTGAGTCATTGTGTAATTCCAATTCCGTCAGCTCCAGTCAATAAGTTGAACTGTAAGGTTAAGGTCACTTTGATTGTTTCTTTTACTCGTGGATGTAGATTCGATAAAGTGAACAAACTTTTTCCATGACTGTGTAATAGCCTATAGGCTAAGATTGGGAAAGAGAATATAGGATGCCCATGTGTCTTTACTTGCTGTTGATATCAGTATTATCAGTTTGTGTCTGGTCAGATCATATTTTTTTGCTATGTTTTTGAACTGATAGTTTGTGGGCATTTTCTAAGTCGGGGATTTTTTGTCATCGTTAACCCTATCCGTGCATCATGTTTTACTATCGTATCCATGCGACGTGGGGAATTCTGTGCCACCACTTTCCAAAGAGGAAATTTACTCGTTTATCCAATCCGTACGCTTTGCATAAAGATAGCAGTCTGTCAAAATGATTTTTTGAGAAATACTGAAAGTTTCAAAGAGATCTTCATACTAGAAATATTCTAAAATGTGAAGAATACAACCAGGGGGGGTACAAAATGACCCCAGGGCGTACGGATACGGTTAAAACTTATGGATCGGTTGTGCATTGTGGGATGTTTACCTTGCTGAGTCAAATGGTGTTACTGGTAGAGGCACTGTGCTGGGGCTGTGTGGACTGTCCTCAGTAGAAAGGAACTGAAAACAATACAGACAAGCATAGGAAGAAGTTGGCTGACTTGGTTGATCAATACTGACGTTTAGAACAGTTGCAGCAGGAAAAGAAGATACGGCTTGCTTAGATCAACGCCCATAGCATTCTATACCCAATGACCCTCTCGCATAGGGCTACACTCAAAGTGTTTTCTTTTTCTTCTTCTTCTTCTCGATTGCATCACACTTGAAGTCTGGTATCTGTCATAAATTGGGCCGTCCTGCTCCGTTCATCTGTCGGCTCGTATAGCTTCTCCTGTAGTGTCAGTCGGGTTGGCCACGTTTCCTGTCTCAGGGCCCTGTCTGTCTTGCAGTGCTGAAGGATATGTTCAACTGTTTGGTCCGCCTCTCCATATCGGTATTTTGGTGATTGTGCTAGTTTAAAACATCTGTACATATGTTGTCTCAGTCTTGTGTGTTGTGTTCTTGGTCAAAAGATAATCACTTGTTCTTGGCGGGACAGCTCATGGTAGCTATTTGATGTCTGTGGTTCTTCAAATCGCTCAAAGTGTCATCATGTTTAATATTTCCTTGGGTGGAGGGCACCTGTTCAGGATCCGCTTGATTGAGAACAATAATATGTCAGTTGCCAAAACAAAAAGTAACCAGTCCAGAGTTGGATGTTCCTCGTACTGTATTGTTCCATCTTATTTGTTTTGTTGTTATTTAGTATGTTTTTAATCATGCCGAATGTTGTTTTTAATCATGGCGAATGTGAGTGCTTGACGTGATAATATGTGCTTCACATGCTTTGTAGAAACATGTTTGGAGTCAAGTGCTGTTTGTTTGAGCATGTTTGTACTTTACATGAATCATCGTTATCATCATCCATCATCATCCATCATTATCATCATCATCATCATCATCATCGCCATCATCATTATCACCATCATCATCATCGCCATCATCATTATCACCATCATCATCATCGCTATCATCATCATCATCATCATCATCATCATCATCATCATTGCTATCATCATCATCATCATCATTATCATCATCGTCATCATTATCATCATCATCACCTTCGCTATCATTGTAGGTAGCAGGGAATAAAAAAAGGGTTTGAGACTTAGTAGACTTTTCAAATACCATCGCTGTCATTGTCATCATCATCATCATCATCATCATCATCATCATTGCGATCATCATCATCATCATCATCATCACCATCATCATCATCATCATCATCATCATCATCATCATCATCATATCATCTTCAGTACACTACAGCTGTTGCTCCACACCCTGGCTTTGTGCCAGGATTCACAGTTTTCTGTACAGTATCTTTTTGTTCTTCTCTCCGGAGAATGGGGTACTTCGTAAGAGCATGTGTTTGATTGAGGTTTGGAATTAAAGCTGTTTCTTGCTCATATGTTCAACATTATCTTCTGTGCTTTCTGTTTTATGTGGTTTGACCTCAGTTGGAAGAGGATGAAGTACATGGTATTCGAGGCACAGATAATGTGAACAGGAACAACTCGAAACCATGGATAGCTCTTTTAATTTGCCTTTCCCCAAGTCGAGGGTCGCCAATCCCTCGATGGTATTCTCTTTAATTTTACGCTATCAGGTAACTGAATTCTGGATTTTGGATTTGAAGAATTCATTTGTCAATCCCTATATGTTTGATTATCTGTGCCTGGCTGTATTGAAAGAAACAGCAGAATTGATGTTTGTGTATGGGGTGATAGGTTGAAGAATGGATGCCAAAAACTTCAGCTTCCACTACAGCTGATGCACTTTACTTCAGACAAATTTTCTGCACTTCACCCAGGTTGGATGGGTATCCAACTGTGGACAGCGAAAGATTTCGTTGGTTTGATACATGTAATGTTTTATCACTTAATCGACTGATTGCTGTGTGTGCCTTCCGGGAAGCCGAAAATGTTTCTGAGTGTTTTAGGTTTTGCTGGGGTAAAAGTAGTTGTAGAGCGTATAGGGCATGCTGTAGAGCGTGGATATGAGCTATAGAAATACAATTATCATTATCATTTTCCACTCAGACAAGTTTCTAAATTCCTACAGACGTCAACATAAGTTAAGGACCACCTGCAAACACTCTGAGTTGTCTTCTTGGGTCGACCTGCACGTGGGCGGTCTTGGACTGATCCAGTGGCTTGATGGCGCTGCTTCAAGCGGACAATGACAGAGTGTGACACTGCAAACCTTCTGGCAACTTCTCGGGTTCCAACTTCATCCTGCAGCCATGCCATAGCTCTGGCACGATCGAAGTCTCAGCTTTCGTCTTGGTGGCATGTTGATGCGATACTGGATTTTGAGCAAACAGCGGCTTATATTGCCACCAAAGTGAGCACAGTTCGAGACCGTACGTCCGTTTATGACGTGCACTAGAAATTTTAACTGAGTAATGTCCGCGGCGTCGCACGATAAAAAACAGCAAATTTGGCTAAAATTCCCCGAGGATTTCCGTGCTGCACGTGGTGGTTTTGCCCATTTTGGAAGCTTTGCAGTACGCATTGGTAACCTAGTATTAACACTTTCAGAGCAAACAATTTTGAAACATTCCTTGCTGGGTGTTTTTTTAGGATTTTTAAAAAATCAGGCCTGTCTGTCAAGGTGGTCCTTTACTTTTGTTGAAGCCTGTAGTAAACCCAGGATATATCCTTGTCTTCTTGGAAAAGAACGAAAACTGTGAAGGTACTCTTGAGTTTCTTATAACCCAAAACCTCGATAGTGGAAAAGCAACGGGATTGGTCTGTTCCGCATGAGGAGTATTTGGAATTTGGTCCAGCGCACAACAGGGCTTTTATGTCCAATGGAAGACGAGTGACCTTGGCTCCAAGTCAAGAATGGCCTCTGCTCTGATTCTGACCTTTAAGTTGTCCTGTGCTTTTTAGTTTTAGTAAGTATTTTACGGCACTTGCAACACAATAAGTATAAGGTTATAAAAGGGCCGAAGATTAGAGGTGTTACAAGAGAGTAACAGTCAGAAAAAAGAAGGAGGGGAGATAAAGACGATAGATGTTTGATAGAAAAGAAGAAGCAAACCACACCAGAGTACCTGCCAACCACCCACTTGTACTGTGCGTTAAAAAAAAAAATACAACAAAACTAAACCACCATAGGGTTACTCCCGGCGGCTAGCGTGGGAACGCCAAAGAATAATTCCAGATGAACTTTTTAACTTCAGCTTTCCTGAACTGCTCTGTCTTTGTTAAGAATTATCTAGGACTCAGATCTATGCGTGGGTGAGTGATGTTCTTTGGAAGATGAGCAATAATATTGTGATAAAGACATGCCCAGCCCCCCGGGGCGGTGCCACTGACTGAAATGTCTTTAGGACATTCCCAAGGGGGGGGGGGTGCATTTCTCGTTCTAATGCACAGTAGAATTGTAAATGGGCTGATCCAACACTGTCATGCTCATAACTGTGCCTGAAATACAACCGGGAACTAGCTGCTTTTTCTTTCCTAATCCTTACTGTCGACATTTTCCTCTACTTCTTCTGTATGTTTGTCACACTGTTGTGACCCACTATTTCCGGGGTGCCTTGATAGCGGAAGCAGACTTTGTGCTGTTGAAGCTGGAGAGGTGAGCAGAGTAAGTCTTATTCCCTGTAATGTAAGGACTTCTCTGTTGACATCCACCCCGTCGTGGTGCTCATGTAACCTTATGCAGTGGCAGTAGCGAGAGCCGTACTACTAAAACGAACAAACAAAAGACATGTCTCAAAGACGATAACTAGATCAAAACGGACGGCGTGTTCTCGTTCAGAAGAGCTGCTCTCTTCTCAACTCATTGAATATTTAATCATTGAGAGATAAAAAATAAATGATTAGGGAACAAAGCTCATCTCTCGGTACTGTCAGGCGCCGTGTTGAGAGAGGAGCTGCTTGATGTCAGTGAACGAGGGTCCAGGCGTGGCGGTTTTCGGACGGCAAGGTCGCTGGACACAGCCTGGAACCACCGAGAAAGGCGGGGAATACCTGTAGGTGGACGTAGTCAAGGTTTGAGCCAAGGTCAAACTCCTGTTCTAATATGTCTTAAGTTAATACATTAGCATTTTGCTTTTATGTGAGCTATATAGTTGGCCTACTGTTTTAGGTTATAGGTATGCTAATTTTTATGCTGTTTCAGGATTTTTCTAATTAACCTACGACAGTATTGGAAACAAAATGGTGATTGTTATGATGAGTCATGATACTTGGTCGCTTTTAAGCACAAGGGGGCTGTCCCGAAAAATGCTGTTTTGAGAAAATCGAAGGTAAAGTTTCTGCCCCTTGTTCGGTTTCTTTAAAAGACAAGGGTAGTTTTTTTTCTATAACCAAACCAATATTATTATACGCACCAATTGAAACCAAACTTCTCCTATAGGTAGGGCAATGACTACCTTTGGTGTAGGTCAAAAATTCTGGAAACCCCCGAAATCTGTGTTAGCCCCCTTGTCCTTAAAAGAGACCAATTAACTAATGTATTCACGTTTCTTTTTGTTCTTCCCCTGGATGTTGTCAGCGAGCTTCACTGTATAACTTTTTAGATAGAAAACTTGAAAAAGAAAATCTCTTAAACACGGTTCAGAAATAGTCTTGTGACAGTAACGATCATAATAGTAGCTCGTCGGTCAATGTCAGACGATGACCAATACAATACATCCACAGACGATCACAATATTAAAACGTAAAACTACAGGTCTTAAAGACAGAAGTTTACACGTGCATGTATCTTTTCAACTAATCAATCAATCTGGCCTACCGCTGCCCCACGAGCTGCATGTCGTAGCGTATGCTGGTCCCTGACACCACGGCCCCGTCGGAGATCTGGTTGAAAGTTTCTACAAACGTCAGTCCGTCACAAGACAGGTTTCTGTGTCCCTCCGGGCGAACCTGGGACATGTACAGGAGGGAACTCCATTCTAAGGGCGATAACATAAAGAAAGCCGAAACTTAAGCGGCTGAAGATCGACTCGGACAGGCGCCAGTAGGTGTCTGCTTGACTCCACATAGAGAGCGCCTATTGCCGATCCCTTTAAGCTCGCGTTGCATTGATCTACTGTTGTCTAGTCTGCCTACATCTACCGTATCTAGAATCTAGTTCTAGGTCTTGAGTGATTACAAATTTACAAGAATTGACTCGTCATCCGAGAGGGGGAGGGGGAGAGGAGGAGAGGGGGGGAGAGAGGGGGAGAGAGTGGGAAAGAGAGAGAGGAAGAGAGAGAGGGTGAGAGGGAGGGAGAGGGTGAGAGGGAGGGAGAGGGAGAGAGAGAAAGGGAGGGAGAGAGAGAGGAGAAAGATCATCTTCCCGTGTCCGGTAGAATGTCATATAAAATTGCAATAGTATGTCATAAATGTGTCAATAACAAAGCTCCCTCGTATCTTAGTGATCTCATCCAGATGTATGTTCCATCTAGATCACTAAGATCAGGCGATCAGTATCTTTTAAGAGTTCCTTGAAAAGGGGGTAAAAAATTAGCTGAAAGTGAAAGATCGTTCGCCCACCTTGCTCCGTCAGTTTGGAACTCTCTTCCCCAACCTTTGAGACATACAACATCTGAGTCTAAATTTTTTAAAATCTTTAAAGACACATTTAAAGACATCTTTTTTTGTCTGTAGATTCAGGTTCAATACAATGTTATGTAAATGACTATGTATCCAGTTATGTATTTTGTGATTTGCATTGTGTAGATTTTATGCTCATTTCGTGACGACGTGTAAGCGTGCGTGTGTGATAAGCAAGTAGATGCGTGTGTGCGTGTGTGTGTGTGTGTGTGTGTGTGTGTGTGTGTGCACATGTGTGCGTGTTATGTGTTCGTGAGTGTGTATGTCTGTGTGTTTGTGTGTGTGTATGTGTGTGTGTTTGTGTGTGTTTGTGTGTGTGTGTATGAGTGAGTGTATTTTTGTGTTTGTGTCGCGTGCGTGAATATTGTTCGTACATGTATTTTATGTAAAGCGCCTAGAGCTGTGTTTACACGGGAGTGGGCGCTATAGAAATGATCTTCATTATTATTATTATTATTATTTTTATTATTATTATTATTATTATTGTAAATCGACATCCATTTTGACAAGACACGACACAGCCAGATAAGCAGATCTCTAGACGCACAACGAAAAACTACACAGGCCTCGTCTCTTCAAAATCACACTCTATTGACACAGTAAAGCCGAGATATCTAGATCTAGAAAAAAATTAAATTAATTACACTACAACACAGCTGGTATTCATGAAGCATAATATTTTTGGGGGAAAAAACACGAATTTTCTTAAATATTGCTTAAAATGCAATTCTGCTCGATGACCACCCTATTTTGACGATGCTGATTTCAAAAATGTAATTAGTTTTTGTCTACCGTGAAGCACCAGCTCTGAAATGACCATTAAAAATTGTCCCCAGTCCAGTCGGGTGACATCACACAAACCGCTGAACCCGAGTTGGCGACGGCGAGACAGCGAGACGGCATTGGGAGTTTGCGACCTCGGTGCTTTCTTGTCGTACCTCCATTTTTAATAACAGTGAAACCAGTTCATAACAAAATGTGAGTTAAAGAAGAAGTCTCATTTTCACTGTTAAAAAATGGAAATACGACAAGAAAGCACTGCGGTGGTGAGTTGACAGCGAGACGCCCTTCCCAGTTTTTCGGCGTAATAAGAATGTAGTTTGGATTCCGATAAAGCCGACAACTCCGATCCGAGTTTAAAGCTGCCTGCAGTCGGCCAGCTCTATGTGGGGCAAGTTGGAAATCATAAGAGAATTTTTATGCCTATCGGCGCTTACTGAGTCAGTCTCCGAAATCGGCGTTCTCTATGTTTTCGCCCTAATACATGTAGGCCTACAGGACAGAACTCCATTCTAATACATGTTCAGGACAGAACTTCATTCTAATACATGTACAGGAGAGAACTCCATTCTAATACATGTACAGGAGAGATTGTGCAGCAGAGAACTTCATTCTAATACACGTACAGGAGAGAACTTCATTCTAATACATGTACACAAACGGAAGGGAACGTCATTCTAATACATGTACAGGAGAGAGCTTCATTCTAATACATGTACAGGAGAGAACTTCGATTCGCGGGATGCCCACTACGGATGGGATCGGCCGAACGGGCCGATCGCCCGACTTGGTCGCCTCAAAAGCAAACGTGGGGTTTTTTTTCCAGCTTAAAGCGATCAAGTCCGACGGTCGGCCCGATCCAGCCGTAGTGGACACCCCGTCAGGCAGTGCGTGTCAACCTTTTTATAGCCAGGGCCCTCTTTTGCCATCTTTCAGAGGCTAACAGTTTTTACGTGATGTGGTGGAATCAGACGCTCGTCATTTTGGGGACATAGAGTTATTTGTATCACCATAAAGGTTGTTCATTTGTCCTGCTTTCAATGAAAAATAACCCATCTTTCTTTAATAAATATCTAGATATTTGCAGTTAAAGGAAGTGGCGGTCGCTTGGTGTCAGAGGTAAAATTAGTGAGAAAATGGCCGCCAAAGTTGGGTAACATCCAAACCTACTGTATCCTTGGACACCTCAAATTTACTTTTGTTGTTCCTCTGATCAACGTTTATCCAGTAAAAACCAGACAGGACTATTTTTAATGGATATTAAAGGTGTTGAGACAAAACCCCGTTCTACGAACGGAATAATAATGAAGAATTATTAGGAAAGTTAAGAAGAGGAAAAAGACTCAAAACGGTATTTAAAAAAAACAAAAATATTTTTTAAAATCGATAAAAAATTTCAATAATCTCTTTCTTTCTTGTGGGGTTATTTTAGTAGACTCTTACGAGAAGGGTTCAATAAGTCTTTGGTCTGGATATGAAGGAATCATGGTAGAGTAATGAAATTTCGCCAGCCTTAAAACAATTTCTTTGGAACACACCATGCAAATTTTCGGGAAAAAAGAGAAAAAAAGAAGAAAAGGAAAGAGAAGAAAAAGAAAGACTTGCTTGCTTCTCTGCTACAAAAAAAAACACAAAAAACCAACAACAAAAAACCCAAGCAAATAAAGCAAATTCAGTCTTTGCTCTACCACTGTATACCTCTTTTCCGAAGAAGGTAAAGTTACACCTGTCTGTGGCCAGTTCGGACCGGAAGGAGTCCTCGCCTGTTTTTCTCCAGATGGCGTCGCATTCTCGTCTGTTGCTTAGTTCTGACGTAGACAGTGACGTCAGAGCTCTCAGACCAGCCGGCCTTGTACTGCGAATTTGAAAGAGGGGAAAGTTGGCGCTCATTTAGACCACAGAAGGAGCAATAATTCTGAAAAACGTATTGATCTAACCCTCCATTGACCCCCCCCCCCTCCTCCCTGCCCACCCCCACGGCCTCTCCAGAGGTCCCTCCATCCCTTTCATAAGCACACCCCCCTCCCCATTGCTCTCTCCATAGGACCCTCCACCCATTTCATAAGGTAAGATCCCCCCCCTTTTTTTTCCTTCTCCATAGGCTCCTCTTTCCTTTTCATTAGTAGGTCTCCCCCCCCCCCCCCCCCCATCATTTTCCCCCTGAATTCAGACGACCCTCCATCCCTTTCATTTGTAGGTTGGGGGCGACGTAAAGACCCACTTGCAGCACCCCAGCAGGAGCTGCAATCTCTAACTGTGAAACATGAGTTTTAATTACTCTTCTGTGCTCTTTTATACTGCAACGTTCAAGTTAAATATTTCATCTAGTCTGTCGTTTCTGGCTTTTATCTTCATACCTCCCTCCTCCCCATTCTTCTTCATTCTAAACAGCGGCTTTTGTGGTGTTGTTCTCCTCTCATTCAATAGGTCTTGGGTTCTCGAACCCTGACAACGATGGACAATTTTCTTCCCTAAAATGACCCCCCCCCCCCCTCCTCCCCATTCCGGTTCTCTAGTCGAGTTGTGTCATCTGCTTTCATCTCCACTTTCCTCCTACATTACACCCGAAAAAAAGAGAGCTAAAACCACATAACCCGTAACATAAATACAATCATGCACATGGAAGCACACCTAAACCGGGACGAGTTGGCGATCTCGTAAGAAGCTTGTCGTACACTGCAAGGACTCTCCTTCGTGAAGGCGTAGACCTGTTGTCTGGCCGGTGAGCTGGAGCCAGCGACAACTAGCTCGTAGTAAAACGTCACAGCCTGGATGGATGGATGAAACGGGAAGGTGTAAGTAATCGGGAGGCATTGTAGTGAAATCAAGCGCTCGTCAAAATAATGAAAGTAATGAAACTGGTTTTTTTCGAAGGGTTAGGAATTTTGTATCGATTCTTTTATTCTTTTATTTTGTTTATTTTTTTGCTCTACATCTTTTATGTCCATTTAAAAACACATTTCTGTGTTGATTTAAAACAACAAAAATGTCGATTAAAGGCGCAAAAATTGTAAATTGGGAGTATCCGAGCACTCTCAAGCTTTGGAGATCACCAAACTTTGGCGGCCATTTTCTCGCTAATTTTACCCATGAAACCAGGCAACCCCCACCTCCTTCAATCGCAAATATCCCGACTAATATTCAAGATAGATGGATCATTTTTCATCAAAAGATAGTCAAACGAACAAGCTTTAAGCTGATACCAATAACTCCAGCGTACTGTTATAAGACTGGTGGCCTAGTGGTTAGGCTCTCGGACTCGCAACCGTAAGGTCGTGGGTTCGAATCCCGTCAAGGGCCCGACGTTGTGTCCTTGGGAAAGGCACTTTACACGAATTTTCCTCACTTCACCCAGGTGGGAATGGGTACCCGGCTATAGACAGCGAAAGATCTTGTCAGTTTGTTAGTGTTTGAGCGCTTAATCGGCTGCTTGCACTGTATGCTTCCCGGGAAGCTGAGAACGTTTCGGAGTGTTCTATGGTCTGCTGGGGTAATAATATAGTGTAAAGCGCATAGAGCCTGCTGCTGAGCGGGGATATGCGCTATACAAATGCTATCTATTATTATTATCATTATTAAGACTTTAAAGTTTCACCTTTTTAGTTAAGTTTTAATATGAGTTTTGCGGCACCTTCCAACACAGATGGTTCATGTTTGAGCCGAAGAAATGTATTAGAAAGGGACGTACAAAGAATAGGAGGATGAGAGGTAGGGACGATAACACAGACTTCAACAAAGGTTAAGGACCACCGTGACAGACAGTCCTGATTTTTAACAAAATCTGAAAAAAGGCAGCAAGGAATATTTCAAAATTTTAGCTCTGAAAGTGTTAATGGGTTACCAATGCGTATTGCAAAGCTTCCCTAAAGGACCATAACCACCACGTGCAGCACGGAAATCCTAGAGGAATTTTAGCTAAATTTGCAGGGTTTTTTTATTGACTTGTGTACGACACCACGGACATTCCTCAGTTCAAATTTCTGGTGCTCGTGATAAGTGGAAGTACGGTTTCGAACTGTGCTCACTTTGGTGGCAATATCAGCCGCCGTTTGCGCAAAATCCAGTATCGCATCAACATACCGCCAAGACGAAAGCTGGGAGATTTTGATCGTGCCAGAGCTATGGCATGGCTGCAGGGTGGAGTTGGAGCCCGAGAAGTTGCCAGAAGGCTCGCAGTGTTACACTCTGTCATTGTCCGCCTGAGGCAGCGCCATCAAGGCACTGGATCAGTCCAAGAACGCACGTGTGCAGGTCGACCCAAGAAGACCAATCAGAGTGTTTGCAAGTGGTCCTTAACTTATGTTGAAGTCTGTATATTGCTTCTAATTTTTTAAAAATTCACATTTCCATCGAGATGAAAACGACTATAAAAATTATAATTATTGCAGTACAAGGCTAGACAGAACTACTTGTACTGGGGAAAAGCAAAGGAGGACGGTGCTTCAAGAGGCAACTTCCAAACACCGGTGGGAACATTCATTAGCGGCTATTGATCTGTCATCTTAGATTAGTTTTAGTAAGAATTTTACGGCGCTTGCAACACAATAAGGTCATGCAAGTGCCGAAGATTAGAGGTGTTACAAGAGAGTAACATACACAAAGCAAGAAGGAGGAAAGATAAGGACGATAGATGTTTGATAGGAAAGAAGGAGCAAACCACACCAGAGCACCCGCCAACCACCCACTGTCATCTTAGAGGTCGTGGTCAATAAAGAAGAAAGTTTTCTTTTTTCTCTGATGATACGTTTTAATTAGAGAGAGAGCCAGAGAGGGAGAAAGAGAGACGGAGAGAGAGTGGGGATGGAGAGAGAAAGGAGAGAGAGAAAGGAGAGAGGAGAAAGAGAGAGAGAGAGAGGGAGAGAGAAAGGGAGAGGTAGAGGGAGAGGGAGAGAGAGAGTGAGAGAGAGAGAGAGACAGAGAGAGACAGACAGAGACAGACAGAGACAGAGAGAGAGAGAATGTGAATTTGATTAAGAGACAGAGGGAAAAAAACAAGTTAAGTTTGGGGGTGGGGTTTGGGAGAGGGGGGGGGGAGGGGGAGCGTAAGACGTCCCCACAACATATTGCCAACACGTACAGGAGCCAGGGCAGGAATATCAACTGGAACGTAGAAGAACTGTAGCCAGAAATGTTTGTCCTGTCCTGTAACGTTGTTGGCTTGGTCCTCCAGGTACTGCTCCATGTTACTGTACTGACCGGCGAACAGAGAAGCGAACTCGCTCAGCAGGGGACTAGAACTCATCATGCTGCCTGCTAAAGAGATACAAACAGAAAGGGAGGGGGGGGGTGATGTAATTAACCCTATCCCTACGTCGTGTTCTACTATCGTATCCACAAGACGACATAGGGAACTCTGTGCAACCACTTTCCAAAGAGGAAATTTACTCGTTAATCCGATCCGTACGCTTTACATAGCAGACTGTCAAAATATTTTGGGGGGGGAGAAATACTGAAAGTTTCAAAGACATCTTCATACTAGAAGTAGGCCTATTCTAAAATACAACCCCGGGGGAACCAAAATTACCCCAGGGTGTACGGATACTCTTAAATACATTTTTACTAGTTGTACATTCTAGATTATTATCTGTCAAAAATATAGTTGCTAAGCGAATGTCGCAATATTTGTTTGTATTAATTAAAAATAACGGCTTTCATTTTCGACTGGGAAGCTTAAAAAATGGTACCAAAATTCCCAAGAGACGTAGGCAAGGAACAGATACGTTTGCCATACAGTCTCTTTGGAAGTTTAGGTTCTGTTATGTAATATTTCTCTTCTTTTTTATCAAGTTTTAGACCGACATTCATTGTGTGCCATTCATTTCTCTGCTCGGATGCTTTAAAAAAAAAAAACCTCCAGTATTTTCCTGGCATTTACCTCGTCACCCCATCGTTCAAGTTCTCTAAAAATCCTTTATTGTTAATTAGAAACTGTTTATGTAGCGTTGTAGTTTTGTAGTTTGATTCTCTGGTACATAATTATTATGATGTATGTCGGTCCGTAGTGTGGCAAATTGGTCGCTTTTAAGGACAAGCGGGGAAACAAGATTTCAGGGGTTTCCAGAAATCTTGACCTACACCAAAAGTGGACATTGTTTTACCTAAAGAAGAAATTTGGTTTCATTAGTGTGTATATTTTTTTTGGTTATAGAGAAAACTCTCCTTGTCTTTTAAAGAAGATGAACAAGGGGCAAAAACTTTACCTACGATTTTCTCAAAACAGCACTTTTCGGGATAAAGCGACCAAATGTATCCGAGCTGTGTGGTATACAGCATTTCATGAGACAGACACAGGTTCTCGATAAAATAGTTTTCTCCACTCGGGAATCGAACTCATGATTTGTGCGTACACGTCGAAGGGCGAACCACTCTTGCATGAAGACCGGTAGTTTACGTCCCTCTGATAGATAACCCAGAGGTGACTGGAGAATGTAAGCCACTTGACCTGAAACTGTTATTGGTACTTGTTGGGCTTAATGTTCTACGTGGGGTCTCTTTTCGAAACTAACTTGAACTACTATGCCTGTCCCTGTGATTTTATGCAAAACAAAATTCTGAAATTATGCAAACTTAGCCCAAAATGTGAAAGTATGCGATTCTGTTAATTTCAACAAAGAATCATAAAGGAAAATAATCAGAAATTATGCACACAAAAAAAATCAAATTTTGCTAAATTATGCTGGATACGTAAAACCACGGGGACAGGATGATATATCTGTGGCTTTGGAGGTAATTCTTGCCTTGAAGCTTGACGTAAGAAATTTCAGAGGTCATGTCGTACTGAATATTCAAAAGCTATCAGTGTGGGAGGCATAGGCTACTCTTTATTAAAACATTTAGTTAATTATGTGTTTGGCTGCGCTAAAATTACTGGCCGCACCACTGGAAAAATGGTCGCTTTTAAGGACAAGCGGGCTAACCCAGATATCTTGACCTACAGCAAAAGTAGGCATTGCCCTACCCTATAGGAGAAGTTTTGTTTCATTGGTGTGTATATCTGTTTGGTTATATTATAGAGAAAACCATCCTTGTCCTTTAAAGAAAATGAACACGGGGCAAAAACTTTAACTTCCGATTTTCCCAAAACAGCATTTTTCGGGATAGCACCCTTGTGCTTAAAAGCGACCCAAAAAAATTTATTTAAAAAAAATAATTTTAAAAAAAAAAAAAAATATATATATATATATATATATATATATATATATATATATATATATATATATATATATATATATATATATATATATTTAGATTATGGTAAAAAAATATAAGTTTTGTTTTAGCTAGATCTAGTATAACTGAAACCATTAACACTAGGTAGACCAACCTGGCCACGGCCATGAGAGGGTAGGTTCCATGATCCCAGCACACAGAAAGAGCAACAATGCGTTGTAAACAGTCATTTTTGTGGGGTACTTAATGGTCTGAAACCAGCTCAGAAGAACCCGGGAAAAGGTGGTAGATCAGGAAACTGAATCTGAAATATGAAAAAGCACGAAGATTAGAAAGAAAAACTTTCTTTGTTCACTGTGTGTGCGGAAAAGTGTGTATTGAGTATCAATGTCTGTCAGAGGGTTGCTGCAGCTCTCTCACCGGGGTAGGCTCTGACAGACAGGATGGAAGCAACCCGATTCCAAAATGACCTGAATTGTCACGAGCGGGGAGGGAGGGAGGGGGGGGGGTAAACGTTTTTACAAACAGCCAGGGTCGATGCATCTACATAATCAATTAACCACTACTTCGCTTCCTCGTTGAAGTCAAATTCATCAAAAGGCGTAGGCCTTCCGTACGTCGTGTTTTACTATCGTATCCATCCGACGAGCGGAACTTTGTGCCACCACTTTCAAAAGAGGAAATTTACTCGTTTATCCGATCCCCACGCTTTGCATAGCAGTCTGTCAAAATGATTTTTTGAAAAATACTGAAAGTTTTAAAGAGATCTTCGTACTAGAAGTATTCTAAAATGTGAAGAATGCAACCACGGGGTACAAAATTACCCCAGGGCGTACAGATAGGTTTGAATAAACGATCTTGGAATAATCAATGCCAAAATTGTTACGTTGCTTGCCATATAAAATTATCCTGTCCACCCCTCACAGGCCACTTTCATAAGCAGCCACAAGCACGGATCATGTAAGCCTACAATTAAACTGATTGAGTTTACCTAAAAAGGGTGAAGGGGGGGGGGGGGTGGATAACTCCTTTTAATCCCATGGCTGCTGTGGATGCTTGTTTATCGTCGACCTTTTACCGCCGTATAATCAGGTAATGGCGTGATTATGGTATCGGCTCCTGGCCATGAAAGGCAAGATGAAGACTTCTAAATTTGAAACCAATTTGGTAATACATTTATTGTAGAATAGTCATCTCTCTGTTTCTTTGCCTTTGTGTATCAATTTTTAAAGTTAACTTTTCTTCTTAAAAATCTTTAAACAATTTAATTATTTTCACCGCAGGTTTGAAAGTAAAATTACGTTTTGCCTAAAATATTTAAATTTGATATTTTCTCGATTGTTTTTGGGGGTGAATATACGTACGTAATATGAATTCATGATTTGTTTTCCTTCACAACTCCTCGGTGATGCCGCCTTTTTTAATGAATTTTTGTTAGTGATGTTCCTGTTCTTACAGTATTTGTTGTTCAACGATTAGGAAAAATAAAATATTGGCAAACCACTGATTCTTTCATCGGCAACATCACTGAATCCAGGGGCATGAACAAATGAAAATCCACGTCTGCAGAGGCAGCCAAGCCCGGAATAATATAATAAAATAATAGAAAGCATTAACATTTTGTATAGCGCAAATCCCAGCTCAACAGCTAGCTCTATGCGCTTCACAATCTATACTAGTACCCCAGCAGACCTGAGAGCATTATGAAACAACCTCAATTTCCTGGGAAGAATACAGAGCAAGCAGCCATTCATAGGCGCTAAAACACTAACATACTGACAAGATATTTCGCAGTCTACGCCGTGTACCCATTCCCATCTGGGTGAAGTGAGGAAAATTCGTGTAAAGTACCTTTCCCAAGGACACAACGTCGGACCCGCGCTCGAATCCCCGACCCCGCAACCTCACGATTGCGAGTCCGGTAGCTTAACCACTAGGTCACCGACGTCACATGATAATATGCATTGTACCGTACAGGTATATTGAGGAGGATAACTCTGTCGATGTCACTGAAAATAGCTTCAAAACATCACACCCGGTAATGGCGACAGGTGAACAAGAGAACTATCAAATTATGGGTGTCAGAACTCAAACCTGTTTCCAGTCATCCAGAACAGCACAAATCTGAGCGGGATTCAAACTCTCTGCAAAACACAAACGCAGGTCTCCTCAAGGACGGGCCTTGATACAGAGCTAGAATTTAATGTATATATCTCCGATAGGACTGACTGCAGGGGCGGCTCGTGGGGCTAAAAAGTGGACGTGCACAGTTAAGCTATCGCATGCTGAAGATAGGGAAGGGCACAGTAAATGAGACGGTGTATACTTTTAAGATCCTTGGGTTGGTGAGGGAGGACTCCGTGCTTTTATTTTCATTCTTTTTACTTGTCGCTTTGATTTCTAGTACTAAATTTGTTTGTTAGCTAAACAAAAATTTCGTTCATCGTGTATTGGAACTGAACACTCAAGTAATAACTTTCACTACTCCACCACAAAAACCATTCAAAGGCACAACTCATAGGACAGTCACGTTCACCTCCCTCAGGTTCACGGTCACAGAGTCACTTAAAATTGTGGCCAGACAGACAATGAACCAATCACAATTCACTTGAGCACTCCGCTGGATTGCTCCAGGGCTCACATAATATTGGCAAAGAATAGCGTACGGTCTATCGCGTTTATTTATCGCCTACTGTGGGCTATGTTCCGGCACTGTTCGGCCGGAGCACATTTGAGATGTGCCGTCTTTTAATATTAATGTACCGCCAAACTCGCTACGAGTGTCGTCATCGCTTGGGTTATCCCAAGAGCGATCTATAGGTCAGGTTACACTGTTGAATATCCTATTATGTTTAAATAAAGCGCGTGTACTTTCGCATGGCATAGTAAATGTTTTACGGCGCTATGGACACAGAAATGACAGTTATGACGCTAGCGAGGACTTTGTTTTGATATAATATTTGGCTAGTGTTTGTTTCTGGCTTCTTTTAATTTATTATTGTGGGTGTTTTACGTGGTAGAACATTTAAAAATTGTGGGCGGCACTGCACGACCATGCTCTATGGACGAACCGCGCCTGACTGACTGATCCTTAAGGACCGCACGTCGTGTTTTACTATCGTATCCATATGACTTGGGGAACTGTGTGCCACCACTTTCCAAAGAGGAAATTCACTCGTTAATCCGATCCGTACGCTTTGCATATAGTAATCTGTCAAAATGATTGTTTGAGAAATACTGAAAGTTTCAAAGAGATCTTCGCACTACTATAAGTATTCTCAAATGTGAAGAATACAACACTGGGGGGTACAAAATGACCCCAGGGCGCGTACGGATAGGGTTGACAAAGTGCTTTTCCTAAAGACACAGCATCAGATGGAGCTGATCCTCGAACCCCCCAACCGGCAATCTCACGACTACGAGTCCGGTAGCTTAACAACTCAAGTACCTACCTGTCCCCGTCGTTTTATACAAGTAAAATTCTGAAATTATACAAAATGAGCCCAAAAATGTGAAATTATGCAATTCTGTTAATTTTAACAAAGAATGATAAAGGAAAGTAATATGAAATTATGCAAAAAATGATCACATTTTGCTCAATTATGCGAGGTGCATAAAACCACGGGGACAGACCTACGCTACCTCCCTCAGTCAGTCAGCCCGTCACATGAAAATGATTCCATTTGACAAACTGAGAACTTAGGCTATGTGACAAAAATAAAACCAACACGATCCTAAACCGCCAATAAAGGCTGTCTTCAGAATCTCTAAGAAGATATCTTTATTGTCCTAAACGACACGCAGGACATTTCCTATTACACCATCACCACCGTGCAAGTACATTGGACATGTGTGTTATTTATTGGGGCGACTCGCCGCCAGTTGGTCGATATATGCTCTAGTTTATGTGAGAAAGGTATGGTGGGACATGGATTCAACGCCTCTTAAACACTTAACCATTATTTCAGAGACAAGCCCACTCAATGTCACGTCCATTTTGGGCAGGGCCAAGTCAAGTGAGGGAAAACCTTTGACCCCCTCCCCTACCCACACACATACACATACACACAGAACGGGGGCTCTCGTGACCTAGATGTTAAGGTGTTGGCCTCTCATTCAAAGGTCCCGGTTCGAATCCTGGTAGCAACCGAAGCCTTTTCATCTCTAAAATTGTCTCCTTTCACCTCCTTTCCAGCTCTCTAGCATTGTTCTGTCGTCTGCTTTCGTCTCCTCTTTCTGCCCCCACCACCTCACCTTCTTTGCCCCCTCCTCTGGGCTCCTGACTCTTTCTGCAGCCTTTCTACTGCTACTCCTTGACTCCTTCTTACTGCTGTCTTTCAGCCACACCCCTGATCCTCTGGTAGAAACGATCTACACCTAGCCTTCTCCGACAAGTACGAAAAATCTCGGATGGACCGTGTGCAAGTTGCGAACATTAAAGATCCCTTGGTGGTCTAAAATCGATAAGAGTAGACTTCGGCCGCCACCCGTGTCCCACACGCTCATGTGACATTTCGCAGTTGCGAGCGCCGTAAAACACTTACAAAGAATGTACACGCATGCGCGCGCGCGCGCACACACACA